CTGGTCACACAGGAATGCCACTTGTCAGGTCACCAGCAATTATTCCCAGTGTTAAACCAGGCAGGTGCTGAAATGAGGGCGAACCAAGAAGTCTCTGGGGTTTTATAACGTGCACTGCCCACGACTGGTGTTGGCAGGTCTACAGGTTTATTGTTTCCGGCAGTGGTCATGTTGTAGTCTTGTTGTCTTAACCCTTCAATGTTCACTCCTTGAAGAAAGCAATGTAAGATATGTTTTTGATTTTCTAAGCAGGAGCACTAATAAATATTTCTTCTTTTTTTTTAACCGTCTTGTTTTTAATTATGGGCCTTTAAAATATTGGTTGAGATGCAGTTTGATGGTAAAAGTGCCTAAAACCAAGTGATAGAGATTCCCCAATGAGGTAGATTTCAGTTCCCATCTTCAGGTAGATGTAGTGACTCAAAAAGTGATTCACCAAATGCTTGAGGAAACCATTAAAAACTCTTGACTAAAATTACTTTCCATTTTAGTCTACAGTACGTTTAGCTACATGGATTTGATTTAGTTATTTGGTTTTATAAAATTGGGGGTTAAGTGTCTTAGCCAGGGACACACCGCAGACAAAAACAGAGCTAAAATAGAAGTCATGTTGGTAAAATGAACAAATATAATGAACTTTTCACGCACTGTGATTGGCTCTCATTCAGCTTCTCTTTCAGTCTGAAATTTGCCTCTGCACATTTGCGTCTTGTCGTTAGCTTCGACGTTTTATGCCATTTGTAACTCATTTTTATTAAAGTGTAAAAGTTTATACTCACAGGTGGTGTAGAGGGTTAGGTTGTCACTGCGTCAATGTCACCATGGCCTTCTATTCACTGAAGATGTGATCTCTCATTCATACCACACTAAAGCCATCCTCTACATACACCTTGCATAGGGCGAACATGGGGGCAGAGGTTTGAGCTTGTTATTCTCATTCTCAAAAAGAACGTCCTGGGATCAAGCCCTTCACCAGACGAGGCCTTTCTGTGCTGTTTGCATGTTCTACCCATGTCTGCGTAGGTTTCCTCCAGGTGCTCCAGTTTTCCCTAACAATAGGCGCTATGAGTGTGTGAGTACGTTTCTTAAACAAGGTGCTCCACTCTGCAAAGAGGACCGTGGGCTGTGAGCTTCCTGTTCTGGAGGTTCTTTATAAATCCAGACTTTTAAACAGAGCTCTTAAGATTGTCAATGACTCTTCTGGCCACCCTGGGAAAGCCATGTTCCAGCTTCTTCCCTCTGGCAGAAGATATCGCTCTCTGAGATGCAGGACATCTCGTTACGCTAACAGTTTTTATCCACAAGCTGTTATCAGTGTGAACAGAGCACTTTAATGATTTGCACTTGTTTTGAAACTGTTTTAGTCGATTGATTTCACAGTGACACTTGTTTACTGTTTTATGTGTTTTATTTTCTGTCTTTTAATGTTGTTTTATGTCTGTATTTGTCTGCACACTGGTGACTTTTGCTAATGTATTCCATTGTGGGTTTTTTTAACTGCAAATGGCAAATAAACTGAATCTGTTCCCTGCCGATACAGGAGGGTCTAAGGTCAGTGATGATCTGGGACCTTTATAGACAGTGGTCATTCACTCTCTATGGACCAATGGCTCCTTTGTGTTTTTCAGATATGCATTTCCTGTGTTTGTTTGATTCTCTGATCTGTTGTTGGCAAATTCACCACTTTGTGAAATCCTCCGAGATAACTGCTGCTGTGATTTAGGGCTATACACAAATATAGCCTTATGTAAGAACCCCAACCCCTGTCTATGTAAGTACATAGACAGGGATTGACTAGAATTCCCAAGGTGAAGCCTGAAAATCATGACATATAAAACAAATGGGTCAAAAAACAAAAGTCCATTTGAAAGACGCTATACCTGCTTGTTCCATTTGTCTCACTTGTGGAGATTCAGAAACATCAATCATACCCAATGCCATGTACCTCAGTGAGTGACAGCAGGCGACAGTATTTCATCAGCGACACACTGTTTCTCAGGCAATGATGATCTGTAATGAAACGTCAAAGCAGCTTACTGTTATAAAGACTGCATTTCTGTACAAGCAATTTGATGAAGATTGAATACATATTTATCTTCATGATAGAAACAAGTCCGGAAGATTGTCCCTTAACGGTAATGTCACAAGAAATCAACATTTTCAAGGACTAACACAATATGATCAAGTGTAACTACTGAAACAAGCTACAATCAACACACAATGACACAAATAGGGATTATCAGAGGAATGTCTGACAGAGACATTATGTAAAAGCTTTTTGAGCTTTAAACCGTGTTATATCATCTAGATCAAAAACAGATCAGAAGTTGTTAGATCTGTCCACACAAATATCAGGAACTTTTGCAGCAAACCTGTAACTCTGCCCCTTCTGTCTAAAAGCTTCTGCCTCATGCTGCTTTCATGCAATCTCAGAAACTCTGAAACTATCTCTGTGATCTTGACACTTTCCAAAATGTGTTCACGAGGAGCTGATAGCACTCACAAAAATGTGCAGAAATAAACCTGGAACAGAAACCTTCAGTGTTCTGATATGAGAAACACAGGAACAGATATATTTTTCGTCAAAAAGATATGAAAAATACTACTACTACTAGTATTGGATAGTTAAAGGTTTTGTGGCCATGAATTCACAAGTTTTCATTCGGAAGTTATCTTTGGCTTAAATATGTTTATTTTGAGAATTAAAACCATCAGTGATAAACACATCTGTCAGTTCATCTTTCATCCATTCATTCCCATTTTTCCAAGTAAATCGTCTGGTCACATGGAGCAGCATCAGTCCTGTTATAGTATAAAGTAGTTCTACCACTGTGACAGTTTTCTGTCTTATAGAACAAAAGCACTGCCCATAAAGTAGTTTTACAAAATAAAATTAAGTTCTTTGCCATCACAACACTGACTTTGTCGTCGGTAAATTCTCAAATGAAAAAATAAAAATTGACACCTCCCTCTGGTGGAAGCATTGGGATATGGCAGGCCAATAGAAGCAAAGCCCTTCAAATGTGTTGAACCATATACAAGATATTAGTTCACATTATAAAACATGAAAAGTAAATTGGCTCATTGAATTATTTGGTTCTTATTTACCAGACAATTGTGAGATCGCGATATTATTACCCTAGTCTCAAAACCAGTGTTGGTCAAACATTATGTAAAATTTCTTCTTTAATATTAAATTGTATACTGTATATTGCACCTGGAAAAGTATATTTCTCAAGCATTAACCTCACATTGGGAAATGGGAAAACCAACAAAGTGGTAAAAGTAAATTGTGCACTTCCCCTTTAATAACATACAAACTTCAAAAGACAGGACTCACTCAGAAATGTAATCACAAGTTATTCGGTTTAATTTTTAATTCTCATTTTTACAGTGTAGTTTGCAGAAAACGTAAAGATTTCTGTATCAAAAAGACATATGTACCATTACTACTTTGACTTTACAATTAAAATGCCGAAAATACAGTAGATTTACACAGCCGCACTTATACAGTACCATAAAAGGAAAAAAAAAAAAGTATGTACAATTTCCAAATTCAGTTCATTTAGCACAATTAGATATTTATATATATATATATATATATAGTAATAAGAAATGTTTAAATTCTCTGTACACCCAGTCAAGGAACGTAAGGTGCGACATTAAAAAAACAGTGGTATGTGCTCGGGAAGATTCGTACAAAATAATGAGGAATTTACAAATAGATATTTACAGATCGGAACGATAACGAGGAGGTTTTTCACATTGCATTGACAAAAGTGAGTGTTGGTACCAGTTGCGAGGTCGCCATGGTGGTACCGATGTGCTACTAGCATAACACGTCCAGTTAGGTGTGGAAGGTGTGGTTTAAAGAGACATTTCCACTTCAAAATGGCACAGCGCGAGGGTCTTCCGTTGACGCGTCCTTCCGCTTTATCCCGGGCCTGATCGCGGGGATGGCAGTCCTCAGAGCAGAGGTGCCCACACGTCCCTATCCTCGAGACGCTAGAATACTCCGCCGGCTAGTCTCGCCGTGGCTATGAGCGCGGCTCTACTGCGAGCTCCACCTGTGTGACTGAGCTCCTTGCTACCATCTCTCTACTCTACTGCGGATTCTGTGCATAACCTGAGTTGCATTAACTAAGAAAAATAAAAATAAAACAAATACAATTCATGTGAAGTCAATCGATCTCTGCGAAGGAAACGCATTTGGATTAGCCATTTATTCTCGGTTACTAAAATCTCATAACCGTGGGAGCTCGGGAAGGTAAGTACCATGTCCTCTGACGGTTACAAAGAAAAAAGGATTCTGTAACCATATGTAAAAATGTGTTTAAAATTCAATATCAAAGTTATCAAGTCAACATAGGAATTCTGCTGACTGGGCTGGTTTGAAGTGAAAAAAAAAAGAAAAGGAAAATATAAAAGTTTGACAACAATCATCATGAATTTGTTGTAGCAATTCAAGCAGGGGAAAAGGCCAGACACATTTAAACATTAAAACAAATACTATAATTGCTGTGCGTCGTCCTCAATCTAAAAATAATAATAACAATAATAATAATAATAATAATATGTTACATCGAATTCCATCACAGCTATAAAAAAAACAAGAAACAAGAAACAAAAACCTAACAGTATCGCTAAAACGTTAGGGCGTGCTAAGAAGCCAACATGGCGTGGACCCGTTCAGTACCATCCCAATAAAAAAAAAAAAAAACGGTACCAGTGCTAAAACATGTCTTCCTATCCTACAGGAACCAGGAGTCTCCTCGCTCGTAAGGCAACTTTTTTGTTTTTTGGAGATTTCCCCCTTTGTGTTGGCACCTCTGAACTGCTTTCTATACGCCTCAGTAGCAGCAGTAGTAGTAGCAGTAGTAGCATTAGTAGTAGTAGTAGGAGTAGTAATAGTAGTAGAAGCAGGAATGTGGATCGGCCCGTTCGGTTCCAGTGTGGGAGTTTCGCCCCTGGGTAAGTGCTTCGGTGATTTGCCCCGACAGCTACGGTCTGTGAAACCTGAGAGAGAAAACACAAAAGGGAAGAGTGATGTCAGAAGTGGACGGCGTGCACAGTATAGTCCTGGATAACTAACTAGAAACTCAACAGATGATAACAAAAAATGATAACACTCAAACTTAGATGATTTTGGTTTGAAAAACTGCATTATTCAGTTACAAATGAATGAGTAAAAAATATATTTCAAAAGTTATTAGCTATATTGGTTAAATCGTATGGTGGCGTTGTCAAGTCACACAGTGATTACCGCAGATTTTGTTTTTGTGAACGTGAAGCGAGCTGTCGAACGGCTGTTATTTTTCACGTTCTTGTCTTTGTGCCCATTATGTGTCAAAGTCTCACTTCTCAGAAAAAAAGGCAAATCTAATCCAAGCTTATGTTTTGAGGACATCGCCGACAACGGGCTTCACAAAAACAATTGAAAGTGTGTTGTATTTTAAGGTAAGATAAGATAAAACTTTATTTATCTCACAATGGAGAAATTTACATTTGGCATGATTAGAACCACTCAGGATTTGCAAAAAACAGGAAATTTGGAAATATGTTTAAAAAAGTGAAAAGATCTTTTTTGTGCAAGACAATTAAATTAAAAGTGTCTATAGCAGTGCAGTATATATGTTTGACTCAAAAACAGAGTTTATATGAAATTATAAAATGTTGGGAACAAATTAGACCACAACATGTGACCTTCATCTTACTATAAAACATAATTCCTTCTTTCATTCAGATCTAGAGATGTGGCAGAGGCCAAAAACCGATGCATGTGAAAAATAGTGATACAGTGTCACATCGATTTTATCACTGGGTTCAATTGTTTGTGGTTTGAAATTAGGTCTCCCAGCTTTAGTAGTAGCAAAACTCGCAAATTGGATCAGTTGCGTTTTTAAATCAAGAGAATAGTAATAGCAATAATACAAGCAATGGCTCTATGTGTTTTTTATCCTTGCATTTCTTGTGTTTGAACGGTTTGATTCTCAGATCTGTTGTAGCACTTGACAAAAAGCAGTTCTGTTTTTATCGATCTCTCAAAAGCTTTTGACACTATAGACCATGCTATTTTAATACACAGGCTACTTCTTATTGGATTGTCAGAGAATGCAGTTACTTGGTTTTCAAATTATTTACAAAAAAGGACCCAGTCTATAAAACATGAGGACCTTTGCTCTGAATTTGTTACTGTCCACAAGGGGGTGCCACAGGGATCTGTTTTGGGGCCCCTTTTTAGGCCCGAGCCCCGAAGGGGGTAAGGGCCTATTGCTTTCACAATGGTGAAAACAAATGGTGGCGGTGCATGACGGACGCGTCAGCGCCCGTCACTCACCAAAACGTGACGGTTGCGTGCGTAAACTCAAACACTTTAAAATGATGTATCAGGTGCCATTGAAACCTATATTGTTTTTGCTCGAGACGTCAAAAAAAAAGTCCTTGTTTATTAGGCCCGAGCCCCGAACGGGGTAAGGGCCTATTGCTTTCACAATGGTAAAAACAAATGGTGGCGGTGCGTGACGGACGCGTCAGCGCCCGTCACTCACCAAAATGTGACGGTTGCGTGCGTAAACACTTTAAAATGATGTATCACGTGCCATTGAAACCTATATTGTTTTTGCTCGAGATGTTAAAAAAAAAAATCCTTTTTTTAGGCCCGAGCCCCGAACGGGCAAAGGGCCTATTGTTTTTGCTCGAGAGATGTCAAATTCTGCACTTTGAACCTTAATTTCACCCCCTGAACATGCATGAAAAGTTGTACAATTTTGCCCAAACATCCGACCTGGTGAAAAATTTGATATTTTGGTGTTTATTTTTATGGGACTCAAAAAATGCCAGAACAGCGCCACCTACAACAGCCAATGGGAGTTTCAGAGGTCAAGTTTGTCGTAGAGCCATGAAATTCGGTACACATGTTCCTCAAGTCAAGATACGACCGAAATGTTATCATGGCTCCGCCTTCTGACAAACAGGAGGCCCATAAATTTCACTGCAAAATGGAAAAATGATCCGCAATCATTTTCATACATGTCGGTTGGAAAGCGACTCCTCCTCGGCCGTTTCACCGATTGGCCTCCATATCACTCCACATTGTCTAAACACATGTACCATCAAAATGACCTCAGGGATTTTTGATCAGTGAAACGTTGTTTGAGCAGGGGAGTGGCAAAATGTGAGTGTTTATTGGCCGTTTTTCACAACCTTCTATTTTCTCCCGTTTACACATACAAATTCCGATTTGCACAAAACTTGAATCCATGGTTCAACTCTAGGGTCTAGGTCATTTGAAAGTGAACTAATTGAACTTATTAACGCCCCCTACAGACTATTTCAGAGTTTTTAGTATGAAAAACTCTGAAAACTTTGACTCCATCTGTAGGGGCACTAATGAGCCAAGTTCTTTTATTTCACTTTCAATTGACCTAGACCCTAGAGTTAAACAATGTATTCAAGTTTTGTGCAAATCAGACTTTGTATGTGCAAACGGGATCAAATTTAATACTGTCCAAAAAAAGGTCACAATTTGCAGCTCCCCTGTTCGAACAACGTTGCACTGATCAAAAATCCCTGAGGTCATTTTCAAGGTACATGTGTTGAGATGATCTGGAGCGATTTTGAGGCGAATCGGTGAAACGTCCGAGGAGGAGTCGCTTTCCAACCGACATGCATGAAAATGATTGCTGTTCATTTTTCCATTTTGCAGTGAAATTTATGGGCTTCCTGTATGTCAGAGGGCGGGGCCATAATAACATTTTTTTCATGTCTTGACTTGAGGAACATGTGTACCGAATTTCATGGCTCTACGACAAACTTGACCTCCGAAAAATCCCATGGGGGTATTATTAGGCCCGAGCCCCGAACGGGGAAAGGGCCTATTGTTTTTGCTCGAGAGATGTCAAATTCTGCACTTTGAGCCTTAATTTGACCCCCTGAACATGCATGAAAAGTTGTAAAATTTTGCCCAAAAATCAGACCTGGCGAAAAATTTGATATTTTAGTGTTTATTTTTTTGGGACTCAAAAAATGCCAGAACAGCGCCACCTACAACAGCCAAAATAATACCCCTATGGGACTTTTTGGAGGACAAGTTTGTCGTAGAGCCATGAAATTTGGTACACATGTTCCTCAAGTCAAGACAAGAAAAAAATATTATTATGGCTCCGCCCTCTGACATACAGGAAGCCCATAAATTTCACTGCAAAATGGAAAAATGAACAGCAAAAGTTTTCATACATGTCGGTTGGAAAGCGACTCCTCCTCGGCCGTTTCACCGATTTACCTCAAAATCGCTCCACATCATCTAAACACATGTACCTTCAAAATGACCTCAGGGATTTTTGATCAGTGAAACATCGTTTGAGCAGCGGAGCGGCAAAATGTGACCTTTTTTGGCAGTTTTTTACAACATTAAATTTGCTCCTGTTTGCACGAAGAAAGTCTGATTAGCACAAAACTTTAATACTTTGTTCAACTCTAGGGTCTAGGTCATTTGAAAGTGAAATAAATTAACTTGGCTCATTAGCGCCCCCTACAGATGGGGTCAAAGGTTTTAGTATGGGAGCGTTTCAAGGTCAAGTTTGCTGTATAGGCATGAAATTTGGTACACATGTTCCTCATCTCAAGACATGAAATAAAAGTTATTATGGCCCCGCCCCCTGACAAACAGGAAGCCCATAAATTTCACTTTGATTTCACACACTTTTGATCTGAGAAACGCTGTTTGAGCAGCGGAGCGCCAAAAAGCGGCATATTTTTTTAAAATAGAAAAATTGCTTCCGTTTGCACAAGCAAAGCCTGATTTGCACAAAACTTGAATCCATGGGTTCAACTCTTGGGTCTAGGTCATTTGAAAGTTAAAATTTTGAAATTGGCTCTATAGCGCCACCTACAACAGCCAATTTAAAAACGCCTATGGGAGGGGTTCGAGGTCAAAATTGTCGTAGAACCATGTAATTTGGTACACATGTTCCTCAAGTCAAGACATGGAAAAAATGTTATTATGGCTAATCCCTCTGACAAACAGGAAGCTCATAAATTTCATTGCAAAATGGAAAAATGAAAACCAATCATTTTCATACATGTCGCTTGGAAAGCGACTCCTCCTTGGCCGTTTCACCGATTGGCCTCAAAATGGCTCCAAATTATCTCAACACATGTACCTTCAAAATGACTTCAGGGAATTTTAATCAGTGAAACGTTGTTTGAGCAGCGGAGCGGCAAAATGTGAGGTTTTTTTTGCCGTTTTTGACAACATTAATTTTTTTCCCGTTTGCACAAACAAAGTCTGATTTGCATTAAACATGAATCCATTGTTCAACTCCAGGGTTTAGGTCAGGTGAAAGTGAAATATTTGAAATTGGCCCATTAGCGCCCCCTAAAGACTGAGTCAAAGTTTACATGGGGAGCCAAACCAGCTCTACTTATCATATTCATTATATACAAGTCTTCTCCTTGTTTGAGATGAAAGTTTGGAGGGACGGCCAGGTCTTGGTAGATTTGCAGTGGTCTGATACTCCTTCCATTTCAATATAATTGCTTGCACAGTGCTCCTTGAGATGTTTAAAGCTTGGGAAATTTTTTTGTATCCAAATCTGGCTTTAAACTTCTCCACAACAGTATCTCGGACCTGCCTGGTGTGTTCCTTTGTCTTCATGGTTCTCTCTGCGCTTTAAACAGAACCCTGAGACTATCAAAGAGCAGGTGCATTTATACGGAGACTTGATTACACACAGGTGCAGTCTATTTGTCATCATCAGTCATTTAGGACAACATTGGATCATTCAAAGATCCTCACTGAACTTCTGGAGTGAGTTTGCTGCACTGAAAGTAAAGGGGCCGAATAATATTGCACGCCCCACTTTTCAGTTTTTTATTTGTTAAAAAAGTTTAAATTATCCAATACATTTCGTTCCACTTCATGATTGTGTCCCATTTGTTGTTAATTCATGACAAAAATTAAAATTTTATATCTTTATGTTTGAAGCCTGAAATGTGGCAAAATGTTGAAAGGTTCAAGGGGCCGAATACTTTCGCAAGGCACTGTACCTCCAACTCCCCCAGTGGGTTCCACTCTTGAGGGAATGTCATTGAAGTGGTGCATGAATACAAACACCTAGAAGTTATAATAGATGACGCCCTCACTTTTAAACCTTTTATCGATGCACTTGTGAGGAAATTAAAAATTAAGCTGGGTTTCTTCTTTCGAAATAAGACATGTTTTTCTTTTGGGGTTAAAAGGCGCCTTGTCTCTGCTACTTTTTTATCTGTCTTAGATTATGGTGACCTTTTTTATATGAATGCTACCTCTTCATGTCTTCAAAAGGTAGATTCTATTTATCATGCTTCCCTGAGGTTCATCACAAACTGTAGCTGTGAGCTGTACGCTCGGGTGGGGATGGTCCTCCCTGTCCACTAGGAGGCAGTGTCATTGGTACACCTTTATTTACAAGGCTCTTCTGGGACTCCTGCCCTCTTACCTCTTTACATTACTCACACAGACGAGCACAGAGTCTTATGCACTGAGGTCCAATGAGTAGCTGTTGCTTACTGTGCCTTTTGTCCGCACAGTTTGGAAAAAGAGCTTTTTCGAAATAACTACTGCTATGATTTATGGCTTTACAAGAATAAATTGAAGTGAAACGGCAGGTCTTCATTCTAACCAAGCAAGCACACACCAGACCCATTTTTCAGGTTCAGACTGGACCCACTTGAGGAAATGGAGACTGGTGTGCTCCTGCTTGGGTTGGAATGAAAACCCGCAGCCCCTGACCCTTTGAGGATCGGTTTGACACCCCTTACGTAGAGTGTTATTAGCTCCTCTCCTGTCAAGAGATTGTGTCATGCAGCTGCGGGAGAAGACCCCAGTGAGCTATTGATGCACAGACAATAAAAGAGGAGAAAAGGGAAGAAGAAAAGAGACAAGAAAAAAACTGAATTATTGATGTGGCCTGACCGTGTGTAGATGCGGCTCTCCTCGTGCACCTCCATCTCGGAACTCTTGAATTCGTTAAGCTCCTTGCGGATGGCGGCCTGGAAACGACACATAAAAAGAAAACTTGAACGTCAGCGAGGTAGGCAAGAAAAAAATAAAAACCTCTTCACAGCAGAGGATGGAGAGAAGAAGAGGGAAGAGAGATGAAAGTGAGTGTTTGATCGGCGTTTGAGGTGCGTGTGGCTGGAAAACAGGCTAAAAAATAGCGCAGGATTTAGTTGAAAGTAAAGTTTGCGCCCGCTTTTATTTCACACTCTGTATACACTGCAAAAAGTGATCAATTATAAGTCAAATATTGCTCAAATTTGGCAAAACGTGTTTCAACTTGAACACATTGGTTAGATTCCTCCAAGGATGCAGTGTCAGTGTTCAGCCTGTAGAGGGAGCACATACATATGGGGGCAGAGGTTGGACACAGCTTGGACCCTGAGCAGTAGAGTGAAGGAGATTGGGGACACTCAAGGAAGCTACTTTTTGAAGGGGGCAAAAACAACAGTGATGCATTCCCTTAAGCGGTCAAAAGAAATGTAGTTTATGTGTTTGTGTGTTTTAAAATCCATCCATATCGAGCTCACAAAGCTATTTTCAATGACTGCAAAATGGATGCGTCCAAATCCAAATCCAAATCTAGTGAGGAGCGAATGGTGCCTCGCAAGTCTCAGGTTGGAGACTGCTGTAATTGCTTTTCCAATGTCCATTTTGGCTGTTTGGAAGTATTGCATAAAAAGGCTTTGCCAGACCGTTCAATTTAAGGCCCGAGGGCTAAATAAGATCCACTAACAAATCTGATCTGGTCCACAGTAGAGGTTGCATGGCAGTTAAGGAGGCTGAAACTGATATTTTGAGCTGATATTAATGCCAAAATGTTGAACTCAAATTAATTCAACATGAAAACAACATTGTTAAAATTGGTTTCACTGGAGACTGGCTGTTTGATGAGCTTGGGGGAATACTTTATGTGTCCTGTAATGAAATTGGGTGAGGGTGAGTGATATGAACTAAACTAAACTATTCACTTTGTTTCAACACTTACAAGGACTGTTATGACATGAACTATTCATGATTTTTTTTTTTTTTTTTTTCTGGTTTAGTTCTGGATCAGACCCAGTTTTAGTTTGGCGTGTGAGTTCTTGTAATGCATATAAATGATCTAGTGTCTGTTGGATTCTTTGATCTGTGTTTGCAAATTGACGACTGCTGTTATTATTTAGGATGGTACAAAAATAAATTGAATTGTGTTGAGAAGTAATTTAATTTAAATATAAAAATGTGAATAGTGTTTTCAACTTTAAACATAACACCAAATGGTGCGATCCAGTCCTGATGTCCTGGCCCCGTTTTAAATCTGTCCCAGGACATTCCTTTAAGGAGGATATAGTTGCAGAAAAGTGATTGTTCTGCATTTCTCCTGAAACTTGGCTAAAGTGCCGCTGCTGAGGTGGCTGATGTTTGGGAGGAGGTGGGCGGTGCGGCGCTCACCTTATCCGCGGGCGTGAGCTTGGTCCAGGGCTTGTCGGCTCTGCGGTCGTAGTCCTGGGCGTGTGTGCACTCCACGTACTCATGGAAGCGGAGGATCTTTCGGGCCTGGAGCTCGGCCACAGTGGGCCTCTGGGACAGCTACACGAGCGCACACAAAACACAACACACACTTTGTTACACACTTAATTGTTGCTAATTTTAATGCATAACTGATTTTTTGTTTGAATCAAAACTGAATAAATGCTGGTTTTGTTTGTATGAAAGAAAACACGGAATTTACATTGGATTGGCATTTTAAAGCTTGAAAACAATATTTAAATTCTCCTTTGTACTGTAATGTGACTATGCACAACATAATATACACAATTTCGTGTTTTGTTTCTTGAAATATCTATTGTTCATAATGACTGTAGAAAATAAACATTCCTTTACTGGCTTTTCCAGAAAAGTCAATGGTTTTATACATATATTGAATTACATTTTAAGTAAGTAAACTTATCATTAATACATTATCGTCTCTATAATATGTAGTAGAGATTCCTTTTGTGTGTCCACCCCAAAGTGTATTCCACAGATTTGCACACGCCCAGAGCTCGACTCAAGACGTGACATTATGACATAAGGCCACACTTCTCACTGAGAGTCCTTAATGATCGGTGAAATGAACGGTGTCTGGCCTTTACGAACATCACACCCTTACAGGCAGCTTAGTCTACGGTTATGATGCGGTGGAGAAAATGGCAAAAAGACTATTTTATCTTTCATCTGAGCAGACTCCTGTTTGTATCCAGAGCACATTCTCTCACAGAACATTCACAAAAGAGAAAGATATTACAGCTAATCTTTTTCTTTGTGGCATAAATCGATGTAGTTGTGGCTCACAAATAAAAATGCGCATACACTATGTCATAAACTTGTTATGTTATTTTATACCTTTATTTAACCAGGAAAGAAAGAGGTTGGAGAGGGTGTTAGGGAGGACTATTTATACATGTTTATAGTGGTGAGGGAAACTGGAGCACCCGAGAGGAAAGGAGTAAGATGTTTTAACTGCTATCTTTGTTATGATTGAGGGGTTTTGACATTAGATTAAAACATACACTAAATACTATTGAATATGATTACATGGTGGTAAGACTACTGGTGAATAAAAAAAGTGTCATTCACATGGTCTCTTTGAACTTGTAAAGTCTTTGTTTTGGACCAATCATGGTTAATTAAGGGAAACGGTAAGTTAGCTGGTCTATTCCAATGGGGTTTTACTGCAAATGACAAATAAATACATCTGAATCTGACATAGGGAGTACTAGAGTTAGCTTGCCAACACTGACTTTGTTTCTCCCCAGCTCAGAACCTCCATAAAAACCCTCTGGACCAGTGCGCTCCCAGTGTCTGGTGTGACTGTGGGCGTGGCCTTTGCTCGCTGCTGACCTTCCTGGTGAGTCGCCGTTTGATCTCGCAGCGCTCCAGCCGCCGGTCCGCTTCATTCTTGGCTGAAAGAGAACAGACATTCCGTGAGTGGGAGAGAAAACAGTGCGTCCACTCAGAGCGCCTTCACCTGAGCCGCTGTCTAGGCGAGTCTAAGCACAAAGCAAGCATTATCATTATTATTAGAAGAAAGGGGTGGGGGGCTGAGTCATCCCGGGACGCGTGAGGTACGAGGAGAGGGGAGACGGGATCAAAACCTGCTGACGGATTCTAGACTTTCCTTTTCTTTCTTAAATGGAAGGATGTTTGGCACCAGATTGAACTTCCAAGGCTCCGGGAATCAGAGAGAACCCGCAGGCCGAGTCCATATAAGGGAAAAACGGCAACAATCCCACTAAACTTTATGAGATTTGCGAATGGTCTACTTTGAAACCAAATCATCATGTCAGAGCAAACACTTTATATAGTCTACAGAAAGTCATCCGTCGAGCCAGGGAGAAACACGTTTTTCCAAAGTCATAGCAGCAGATTAAAATGTGGCTTTTTACAATGGACAGCTTCAGAAACGGGTGAGGAGAAACATTAAAGAACCAATGATTGAGTTCCATTATAGACGAGCGATAACGAAGACGGTTAATGTGTATGGAAACTATCTTTGGGGGAAATTCTCTATATGTCCAAACTAAGGCCTGGAGGCCAAATGCGGTCCTCTGTGACATGTTATGTGGCCCTCTGCCTTGCAAAGCCAGAAGGCAATGAGATCATAAAAACAAGTTCACAGTGTCATTCAGCCAACTTCAGCTTCACTAATATAGACATTCTGTACCTTGTTGTAAAGCTCAGAACCTCTGGAATCAAGCTGGCAACTTATTAGTGCATGCATATATTTGTGTCTGAAAAGTCTGTACGGAACGCTAATGTTTCTGGTCAGATTGTAAACATTTGTCATTCAATACTTTTGACCATAACAAAGTGATCTTCATAAACATTACTGGTTATTAAAACTACTTTGATAAACACATGTTCAAACATATTCCTAGCCGATGCCGAAGGGTCGAAGGACAGTAATGATCGGGAAAATTTAAGGACATTTATTTTAGTCCTTATAGAACTTTATATACACACACTGACAAGTCAGTCTAAAAGTGGGTTTCAAAGAGTACAGTTAAACATGTATGTATCTTTTCTATGAAGTTTTCAGAGTTGTGGCTGGGGACAGTACGATGCCGGAACATTCTGTGCATGAATGACTGATGAGTTTTATTGACGTGGTGAGAAATTAGGCGTCTCCTTTGACCATGCGAGTCTGATCTAAAAGCATCTGTAGCAGTCGTCCGGGTCTCACCTTGAAGGATGTTCCTCTGCTCCAGCTCCTCGGCTGAGGGCCTCTGACTCAGTCGCCTGGGGACAAGAGCACACCGGTCCACACGCTCGTATGGATCATCACAAGAGACTGAGAGTGGCGGGCCCCAGAGTCCCCGCTCTGGCGCCTCAGATCCTGCTGGGAATTGATTGGCGTCGGACTCATGCTGTGGTTGCGGCTAGGCCTTCTCCAATGAGGGGAATTTTCAGAGGTGGTTCTCACGCCTCAGGCTTTAACCCTCCAGGGACGGGGGGAGGCTCGATCTGGGTTCACCCAAGTGGCAGCATCGGACATCAGGTTCTGGCTTCCACTTCCGAGAGATATATTGCGGGACGGAGTGACTCTGGCCTGACGACCGTATGTCTCACGTGGAGGTGTTCACGGAGCGTCACGCGAAGGATGGTGCTGGCCCCGGCGGTCCTCGGCCACCCCCGAGCTCTGTAGGAGGCTGCTGGTCAGGACTCAGCCCGTCACCCATCACCTGCTAGGAGATGGAGGCCAACAGGTGATCATGGTAGTATGTCTGCACTTGAGATATCTAAGATATGCTACAGGGGATGACACGCGCGCTGCGCATGAGCTCAGGACAACACTACAGTGGTCTCCTATCTGCAACGGCGGTGGGCACCAGGTTCCTCGCTCTCCATAGCATGGCGACGGTTGACGCTGCTTGGCGCGGCGCTTCACCTCCTGTCTGTAGGGCGCGCCACGTTCGGGGTGGTCCGGGAACGTGGGGGTCCGACAGGATGTACAGGGGTGGGCCCACTCAGTGAGATGGGGGCCTGCCCCTCGGGTAGCTTAGTGCGGAGATCTGGCGGACGGTTCGGCTGTCCACGTGGCTGACCTTTTTCGCCTGTGCAGAAAGCACACTGCCCGTCTGGTTCGCCTTAAGGGGGAAGCGGACGAAGGCGCCCCTAGCGCGGTGGCCAAGTTATGGCTCTTTACCCCCTGGCCAGGGGCATGCTGTACACTTTTCCCACCAAGTGGCGTCCTCTGCCTGCGTCCTGCTGCGGATGATCGAACAGGAGAGGAGGTCGGCGTGATTGATCCTGGTGGCTCAGGACAGTCCGCATGCCCCGGTGGTTCCCCTTCCTGAGGGGCATGGCGGTGTTGGAGCCATGGGCCCCTCCTCGGACAGAGCCGGGGCTTCTAGCCAGGGGGGGGGCGAGCCCTGTTTTTCACGCCCGATAATCGGACCGCAGCATGGAATTTGGAGGCTGAGAGGCGGACCTCGTAGACCTGGGTCTTCCCCATGCTGGTGGTGGAGAACCATTCAGGGCGGACAGAGGGGCGCCTGTCTTCCACTGTGAGGGCCTTACGCCACGAGGGTGGAAGGCTCTTCAGCGACTGGTGCTGTTCTCGTTCTGGGATCCCAGGGTTTGCTCCGCTGGAGGGGGTCCTGGGATGCCTACAGGAGCTTTTTTGACAAAGGGAGGGCTGTCGCCAACTTGGCGAGAGGTGTTCGCCTCCTCCTCTCGGGTCACGACGGATCTTCTCTCATCTTCTCCCGCCTCGATTACTGTAACTCCCTCCTCTCCGGTCTTGATGCTAAATCCCTCTCCCGCCTCCAACTGGTTCAGAACGCAGCAGCCAGACTTCTCACTGGTTTTATCAGAAGGGAGTACATCACCCCTGTTTTAGCGTCCCTCCACTGGCTCCCTGTGCGATTTAGAATTGATTTTAAGATTTTACTGATTACTTTTAAAGCTCGTTTAGGTCTGGCACCAAGCTATATTTATGAACTTTTAACCCCCTACGAGCCCCCCCGCTGCCTTAGATCCTCGGGCAGGTCCTTGCTGACCATTCCAAGGTCGAGGCTCCGGACGAAAGGTGATCGAGCCTTTTCTGTCCGGGCTCCTCGGCTTTGGAACGACCTGCCCGAGGAGATAAGGCTAGCACCATCAGTATCCTCTTTTAAATCTCTTCTTAAAACCCACTTTTATAAAACAGCTTTTAATTGTCAGCTTTAAACTTATAATGTTGTATTTTACTGTCTGTCCTGTCTGTTTTGTGGTCTTGTGTTTCCTCTGTTTGTCTTGTCTTCTTGCATTCATTCTTATTGTTTTAACTTTGTATTATGACTGATGTATTGTTTATTATGCTGTGCAGCACTTTGTAAACATTGTTTTTGAAAAGTGCTTTATAAATAAAGATTTATTATTATTATTATTAGATCCAGGACTGAGGCTGTAGATCCAGGACTGAGGCTGTAGATCCAAGACTGATGCCGTAGATCCAGGACTGAGGCTGTAGATCCAAGACTGATGCCGTAGATCCAGGACTGAGGCTGTAGATCCAGGACTGAGGCTGTAAGTCTCAGGACTGAGGCTGTAGATCCAGGACTGAGGCTGTAGATCCAGGACTGATGCCGTAGATCCAGGACTGAGGCCGTAGATCCAGGACTGAGGCTGTAGATCCAGGACTGAGGCTGTAGATCCAGGACTCCCAGGCGAGGAGAAGGGTGCAGTCCATGAGTTTGGGACGGGGGTGACCAGTTCATAGGTGTAGGTCAAAGAGGACAAGGTTAAAGGTACAATCATCAATGCTTGAATGAATGCTGAACGATGATGTGAAATGTGTATTCAGTTTTGTCTTTTCATGTTTTGTAAATGGTTTATATACTGTATGTTTGAAATGTTTTAATGTGAATTGATCCTGGATTCTGGAAGCTAATGGGGATCCAAATAAATTGAATACATTAAATAAATAAAAATCACTCTATGAAACAGACAATGGAACAGCGGGGAAATAGCAATGAACGAACCACAGCCGTCATAATGATGCCTGATAAAGTCAGTCAGTCACACACTAGGCCAGGGGTGGCCAACCAGTCAGAGACTAAGAGCCAATGTTTTTACTGTATTACAGCAAAGAGCCACATCATACAAATGTGCACTACATAAACATCACCCCAACCCTTACACACGCACGCACACGCGCACGTAGGCACTCGAGCAGACACGCGCACACACATGCAATCTGTCTGAGCAGAGAGAGGTGTGCTCTGCTCAGACAGATGTATTGTAAATGTCATCAACATGATAATGACAGAAATTGACTCGTACAGCACTAAAGGGCTGGACTCGACTCTCCCTGGTTTGCGGGCGCTTCCACCGCTCGCTTCAACCGCTCCCCGGTACTTTTTATTAATGGTTTGGCCCTGGTTCTAACCGGGCGAGTCGATACCAGAACAATTTCACGTCAGCGAACATCAATTATGATTCCGAAATGAATGCTTTCAATCTCTAACCAAGAAAAAAAAATCAAGTTTCAACCCAGTGTTTAGCAGAAACACAACTGTCTTTAGTAAAAGATATAGATTTGACACATAACACCAACACCACTTTAGCTGATTTAGAACCACAGACACATGCTCAGTATAAGACCAGATACTTTTGCATTTGATTGAAGACAGACACTCACCAGGCAGAGTTGGCTTATCTCCTGGTGTAATGCTAGTTGTTGTTAGCTGGTTTTAGCATGTTAGCCGGTGTTAGCCGATGTCCGTAAATGTAATCCATTTGGTCAAACCACCTCCAGACTTTTCGGGTCTGCCTCTACTTCTGCTGCTGCGATCTTTCATTTCACGGTTGTCACTTTTAAGCTTTTTAACTTTTCTCTGCATTGTCATGTTTGTGGGAATCATTCTGCTCCGTCCTTAGTGCTAGCTCCACAAACACCTTCTGGTTTCTGGTGGAACCATCGAGCTCACGCTGGTGTCCTCTCCTCAAACTGAGGAAGGTGTTGCCCTCATCCAGCGACCAAGGAATTGTTTTCCGTGCGGACGCCATGGGTCGAGGCAACGTGTTGTTTGTTATGATATTTGCAACAGCTGAGGCAGCAGCTGCAGAGTGACTGACCAATCAGATTGTTTTGGTGGCCTGGCTAGTGGAGTGAAGTCGGCCTTTACTATGGGTCAGAAATACATAGAGAATGAATGGCAGCGCCACCACCGAGGCGTTTTTGACGCTTGTTGTGTGGAAGCCCGAGAGCCGCACGAAACCAGCCAAAGAGTCGCGGGTTGGCCACCCCTGCACTAGTCATTAACAGCGTTGACTGTACGCATAGGCGCGTAACATTTCGTGGCTGTTTTTCCACTGGCTGTGAGCGCAGGTCCGTGGCTTCTGATGCTGTCCCTGTGTAGTCTATGGAGAAGTGTAGAGGACAGTATGGGCCAGAGGACTGATGTAGATTAACACAAATCACATGTATGTGGTTGTCCTCATGGTCTCTGTGCGCTGGTCTGGCCAGACACGAGACTTTATGAAAGAAAAAAAAGAATCACTGTAAAACCTGCTGCTCCTTATGCTTAGATACAAGTGCTGTGTGTCTGTGGAGCTGATCTAGAGCCAAGGAACGATAGAAAAATCATGTTTCAATACAATACAATACAATTTATTCTAGTATAGCCCTAAATCACAACAGTAGACATCTCAGAGGACTTAACAAAACTGAAATCACCAACACAGATCAGAGAATCAACAGTTAAGACACAAAAAAAATATAGAACACATGTTGATAAATGTCCATGCATGTTGAAGAATCTCTTTAAAAAAGTCTCACCCACCAATGCTGAAGAGGAACTTTTGAGCCCTGGATTTGAATTGAGTGTCCATGTCTGTCTTGACACTTTAGAACCACTAAAAGTCTTGTTTTTTGACAGCGTTCACATGCAGGTGGTGCCACTACAGACATATGCAACCTGTCGAGGTGAAAAGTTTTCAAGTTATATGGAAGTGTGTTCGATTTTGGTGTAGCGCCAATGGATGCAAATTGGTTTCATTGATTGTGTTAGCTTCAGCAGTCGTGTATTCAGGTGGCTAGAAGAGTGTATAAAGTGTGTGAGGGGGGTTTCACAGACTTAAAACAACAATCAACCAATCAACTTGTATTTGTAGAGCGCCTTTCCTAGAGAAGGCAACACAAAGCGCCTCACAACCCGCATCACAAAAAGCACATCATAAACATTAAAATCTAAATATACATACAAAAAAATCTATTCAAAACCAAGATTAAGATCACAAGAAATAGTGAAAACAGAATAATATGTTAAGTATTTAAAAACATTAAAATCACACACATTGAAATAGTAAACAGCCACGGTGCATTGAAAAGAGTAAATATAAAACCCTAAAGCAAAAACATAAAGCAGGTACTTCAAGGATTTTGTTTAATGCTGGATAAAGGAGGGACCATTGTACTGGTTTGAGCAAGCGCTGAGAACAATAAACTACATGAACCTCCTGATGCCACCTCTGTTTTTTTTATACGTACAGGCGGCTGCTGCAAAAATACATACGCACAATACGGTGATAGCTTTACTAGCTTGGGATGCTACACAATGACTCCCAGGAGGAATTGTGCAAAATGAATGGTTTTGTACATTGTCCCTGTTCAATAAACAATAATAAACTTTGGGCCATACCGCAGTCATGCATTTAATGTAATCGTTTGGAATTGTCATAACAAAACATTGAAGTGAGATAAATGCTATGAATAATAAAAATAAATCTGGAGTGGGGCAATTACTTTTTCACGTTTTCAGTCTAAAATACATGTAATGATATTTTCTCCATGAATCCAATTTGAGGGAGACTCATTCGTGAAGAAGTGAGGGGAGAGCTGAACTATTAGCTCTAAAGCCTCTGAATATCAGGTTATTACTGCAGGTCCCCGGCGGCTCTGGGGCTCATTACAAAAATAAGGAGGAAAACAGTTTATTTCACTTTTTATTTTACTCCATGGAAACAAATGTGAGAACTTTACAGATGTTGTTTCACAGATGATTTAATTTATGGTTATTTCACAAGTTAAAGAGGGAATTAGCACTTATAATCAATTCCATTCAATTTATTTGTGTATTGCCCCCTAAATCACAACAGTATCAATCAGTCAACCGAATGTATTTATAAAGCACAAATCTCACAGTGTTTCCCAACGCTCTTCCCAAGCAATAAAAAACACACAATAAAACATAAAAAAACAGTGCAAATACCTATGAAACATGTTTATATAAAAAAAATCAGTAAAAAAAAGAGTTGAAAGTTAAAACAAAAAAGCTAAATGCTTCAAATTAGTAAAATGCATAATCAAATAAGACCTGGACTTAGATCGGGGAATCAAATTGTTCAAACAGGAAATGTGTTAATATCAAACACACAGGAGTTTGTTTTTTCTCCTAATGAGGACACAGGGTGTATCCACTGCGCATGTGTCACGTCTCTGTAAGAAAAAGCCCTGTGAGTCACTAATTGACACTTTGGGTAGAAATCTGGATAAGGTCGAGTGTGGCTGTTTCTTTCTTTATTCATTTTTCTGTCCGAGAAGCTGACCTAAAGATGTGACTGAGGCCAAAAAAACAGTTTAATTTTCCATGTATAGCCCTAAATCACAACAGTAGTTATCTGGGAGGACTTTACACAACCGTTGAATTCGCCAACACAGATCAGAGAATAAAACAGTTCAAACACAATAAATAAAATAAATTAAAAAAGAAAACACATTGGTTATGGTCCATAAGGGGCAAATGACCAATGTCCATAAATACATGTAAATAAATTCAGGCATTACATAGTCCTATCTATTTTGCACTCTGAAAACGATGTCCCAGCTTTAACATGAACCGAAAATCATCCAAATTGAACAAATAGTACCTTTGCATTTGTGACTTAGCTTAGTGTGCGTGTCTTGGATTTGCGTTGCTTTCAACAAACAGAGAGAGCTTCCACTGGTTTAATGATTGTGTTAAATTACGTGAATGGAAAAAGGGTCTATAATTAGCCTTAATATGGTGCAGTGGAACCATTTACATAAACACAAATCCCCTGAGACCTTTTTCTTACGAATTTACATGTACAGAAACGACTCATTTGGATAAGTATTCTGCCTGGTGTACCGTTTTTTTTGGGGTGACCTCTGGATGACAGTTGCTAATATGTGTAAAGAGCTCTCATCCGTCACTTACTGGATAGGCCTATAGTAGACCCGAGCTTGTCACGTATTTGATGTATAGCAGCTGCTGACCAATCCAATGCAATTAATCGTCAGGGGGCCGTGATTATCGCTGCTGTCTCGTGCTTATGGATGATAGGTCACATAGAGGTGGTCCGTATGTGTGTGCAGTGATGGGCAAGCTACTTGATTTGTGTAGTGAGCTAAGCTACAAGCTACTCTACAATAAATTCAGCTTCACTACACAGAAGCCACTGTACCACTCATACAAATGTAGCAAGCTAAGTTACAAAATTCTGTCAAAAGTAGCTTGATATAGAAAAGCTACTTTCAATTAAAAAAACTGCAGTCCATGCAATTTTAGTGATGAATACAACTGTCAGTCAGATAAATGTTAAAATTTAGATTTATTGAACAATAGCCCAAAACACCAACAACAAAACACAAGAAGGCCTTTTGCGATTGTAAATAAAATACATTGAGAAATTATAGCAATAAGCCATAACAAATTAATCTGTATTTCATTAGAACTGTTTTTTAACTGTTTTTTATAACAATATCCCAATATACACGTAACAAATGTGAATCCGAGCCAGTTAAAGAAAAAAAAAACATATATATAAGTTTAAGAATGAACTGTGCTAAGAACTATGTCTGACCAGTTTAGGAAAACAATCGTAGCAACCATCATACAACCTTATTATCAGTCACAGAGGAACTTTCTCTGGGGATTACAAAGTAGGCATCTGAAAACATATTTCTGTTTGCTCGTCTCGACTAAAGTGACGTACTTTTTGAGGTATGGCCACAGTATAACATTTTGAGTGTCCTCCGCGACCGCGGCTCCTGAGCTCTTTGCCTTCCTGTTACTTCCCTCCAGCAGCGCACGCATTTGTGTGTGCGCGGCTGTATGCGTGCGCGGCTGTATGCGTGCGCGGCTGTATGCGTGCGCGAGCGTATGCGTGCCGTCACCAAGGCATGCGCATTTGCATTCTGACTTCCTAATTTGTTTGTTTTGGCTGCGGGAAAATGCTGTAATATATGAACATCACAAATGTCCGTGAGAAAATAGCTTTGGAGGACGCTACCGCGCTACTTGCTCAATAAAATAGCTTAGCTACAGAAAGGTTACTTGGTTTTGTAAATAGTGACGCTACCGTCAAGCTACTGAAAAATGTAGTTAAGCTAGTAGCGTCGCTATAGTACCCATCACTGTGTGTGTATTCGTAAACACATTGGTTTTCTGTGTCCTGAAGGAGTTTTGACTTGGATTTGGTTTTGCCCGGGATGTAAGAAAAGCGTAGGTAATGAAAGCGGATCATGTAGGAAGCTTTTGGATCAGACGTAAGGAGATGGGAAGGCTGAAGAGGATGAGTGAGGAGGTGGAGGAGGAGGCTGAGGAGGAAAAGGAAAATGGGGAGGATGAGGAGGATGGGGATTCACAATGCTAATGAGGAGGATGGGGAGGTTGAGGAGGCTGGAGAGGCTAAAGAGGATGAGGAGGCTAAGAAGGATGAGAAGAATGAGGAGGAGGGGGAGGGTGAAGAGAATGAGGAGGCTGGGCCTGAGGAAGCTAAGGAGGCTGTGGTTCTGCTGCTGTGGAGATGAGTTGACAATTCTAGCTACAACACACACATGCAAAAGCACATTTCAATCTGGAGAGACTACAAGAGACAAGATGTAGTGAAAAGTATATTGATTACAAATTTGTTTGTAGTTTATTAGTTTGGCGCATAGGCCCCGGCTGTGTGTGGCCCCGGCTTGCTCTGTGAGGGTTGATGCTTGATTGCTAGGGCCTATTGTGGAGGCAAAAGGGCAAGGTGGATGTGAGCATGCAGTGAAATCATGAGGCGGAGGTGGTTGCGACTTGAAAGGCTGTTTGCGGTGTCCTGCTTTTAAGCGCTGGCTTGAGTTGCCTTGTGTATGAATTGTGCAATACAAATAAACTTGACCAAAGTTGAAACTAGTGTAAAAAAAATGACAGAATTTGGTACAGAAATAAGACGAAGATTCAAGAGTTAAATATAAAACAATGTTTAATTATCTTTACAATTAAACATACAAAACTCTCTGAGCTCTGTTTCCCTAACTAGCCCTGTGAGCTGAGCCATTTTAACTTTCCCTCCAGGCCTGAAAATGTACTGTGAGGATATCCAGGTGTTCTGCGATATCCACTCCCTCTATCCCTGCTCAGACTGCTAACAACATTTCCCACCGACAGATATATGAAAATTTCTGATGACGTCATATGGTGAGACCAACTGAGGCCCTGGTCTGGGTCTGGTCTAGTCCGGTTTTGGGTCTCATGCTGTTCCTAAAATGATAGTTATAACAGAGAAACCTTGTCGTTGAATCTTCCCTGAATTCACTAAACTAAGGCTAAACATTATACAAAGGCTTTTTATACAAACACCTAATGATAATCATTAGTATAAAACATTTTATGGAGACATTTCTCAAATCTACATCAACACTGACCAAAGAGTACTTTTTACACTGATTTTGAGTGGGACCAAATATAATCCGAAACAGAGTAAAATTCATAGGAGTCACATCAACACTGCTGTTTTTACTGTGTATTGGCTGAACTGATTGGCTTCACTTTTCTTTTTAAAGATGTTAGAGAGGCCACAAATATTGAGAACGCTGGACTCGTAAGATGTCAATACGTGTGGTTTGACAGTTAGGTACCCTGGCTTTAGTATGAGACTGTGCACATGCCGCTAATGCCTTGTTTAAAGAGTAGAGCTTGACTTTGATCCGACAAGTGCATAAATCTGAAGGTGATCATCATAGGGAATCGATTCTTCCCCATTTCCTCCACGTCTCGCGGGTCGATGTCATTAAAACATGCATAACACTTACTGCTTCCTATCGATGCAGGTTTAATAACGTGCCACAAGTTTTTCAAGTGCAATACGCTGCTAATGACAGCGTAAATGTCACCATTACAGGCCACGCACCGAGTCTCTGCTTTTAACACTGACGCAAAAGTGGATTTTACATCATAGTTCTTCTTCTAAAATGTGGTTGGTTTGCACAAACACACATACCACACACACACACACACACACACATACAGACAGACCCCGACACACACCCACACCCACACACACCCACCACACCCACCCACACCCTCACACACACAAACAAACACCCGCGCACACGCATACACACCCACACACAAGCATACACACTGACCCCCCACACACTCACCCAAAAACAATGTTATACTGTACTTTTGTGACACTGTTAAGACAGGACCTTCTTACTCTGAAGCACACGGCCTGTGCCACTGTGTCGTCCTACTTTGTGGTGAAAATGAGCAGTGTTGGGTAACTGGGCCAAAGAAAGTAATTTATTAGTATTACAAAATGACTGTTTTTAGCATTTAATTGAGTTTATCTACTCAGACATACTTTTAACCCCCAAGCACTGTTTACATTATGTCACATTGTTTTTGAATCACATTGTTCTAATTTTTATTTCTAAAAGTTCTCCTGTTTCAGAACACAAAGATCTTTTATCTTCCCCACAACTTATCACTATAATCTCTGTCTTTGTTTGCTCAAATAATTTAAATTTGTGGGAAAACAAAGAGAATGTGCCCTCAAATAAATTATGCAAATTATGTAGAAAATTCCCAGCACGCAGCAAGCTAAAAGCTTACGAGTGAAATTCTTCTTAAAGTTTATTGATTTCTGTAATTCAGATGAAAATGTGAAACAAATATTACAGGCAAAGTCACATACAGTATGTCGAGGCTTTGTAATGATTTTGATAATTGCCTTAGAGGCCATTTTCTGAGAAGTTTTATTCTTTGTTTTTGTACAAGCTGTGAGCCCATTTTCAACAATATAACAAATTAAAGTAGCAATATGTAAGATTTTCATGTCAAGTCATCATTAAATGATCCTAATCCTAATGTATTAACAAAACATAATGTTTTCAAATACTTCTTTAACTGATATTTGGATTTCAAAGTTAGTTTTACAGCCCCTAAATCTTGTAGAAAGTCTGGGATCCGGGTTGCCAGAACTCACCACGTCAAGCTAATCTCATTTGACTAAGTAACATGTGGCCGCAGAACTAATTCTGCCCTGGACGGACTGTGATTTGAACCCAGGACCTTCTTGCTGAAAGGCGAGAGTGCTATCCACTCAGCCACCATGCTGTTATTATTCTCAAATCATTAACCCTTGTATTATGTTGACAAAATATGACATTGTTTATGTTGCGGGTCATTTTGACCCGTACTGTGTAAATGCACTCAAAACAGTCAAGAAAACAGGTTAAACCAATAACAACTTTATTTTAGGTTATATAAATATTTAGAAAAGTGACATACAATACATTTTTAATTCCAACACTATATTTAAGAAAGATTTAGTCTAATCTTCTTGTCCTCCTCTCGGGTCAAAATGACAATTCTTCCCTCCTTCTTTCCTCCTGCAATGCTTTCTCCTTCTGTCTTCTCATCCTGTTTTCCTTCTCTCTGTTCATCCTCCTCTATTCCCTTCTTTTCTCTTCCTTCCTTCCTTCCTTTCTCCCTTCTTTCCTTCCTACCTTACTTCATTCCTCCCTTCCTCTTTCCTTCACCAAAGATTCGTCCTCTGAATCCTCCTTATCGTAGGAAAATTGACAATTTGGATCAGCAATAACATTGTTCTCTGTCTCTGAAAAATCCTCTGTTTCTGAAATCTCTTCCTCTACATCATTATCCCAGTTAAAAATTTGTGAAACAGCCTCCTCAGATGTCATCCTTCTGGAGCTCATTTTTGGTGAGTTTGCACTGTATAAAGCCTAGCGCACATCAACAGAGTAACTGGAGACAACTAGTTGAAGGCGGCTTTTGGCAACTGAGAGTAGATGATGGAGATGATCAGTTGAAATAGGTCGATGTGAGCGCTCTTACAACTGGAGATAAACATTCGATCTATGGATTCAGTCAGTTGCCCGTGTTCTACTTATCGGCAACTAGTTGTCCTCAGATCCGGAGATATCACCCATTGTGCTCCAACAACATGTGTGTGTTGTGTGTATAGCGTCCTCTACAGTTTATGTCAGAAAACACACTGTAGTTGAGGCCAGTTGCTGTCGATGTACGCGCTGTTATTCCTGAGACTGGCTTGATACTGGGAGTTGCCCGTTTCATGTGTGCGGGGCAGCAGCTCATAGGCAACGGATATATTCAGTTGTCAATCCGATGTACGCTAGGCAAAAGAGATGACATGAGAACAGTGACAAGTGTGAGAAAGTTCCCTCTCTTCACACACCTGACTCTGGGTCTCAGAGGCAATCAAAACACAATGTCAAAGAGACATGTTTTTTTGGATCTGAACAACTATTTACCCACATTAAAGCGTCTGGGTCAAAATGACCCGCAACATCATCTTTGTATACAAACTCTGCACAGACATTCCACTACACATCAAAGTGTCCAGATTTTACACACCAGTTCATGACCCTAGATGAGGAAAAGTCACCAAATTTCAGCAAGAAAAAGAAAGGATAACCAGTACTTTGATCAACTCAAAAACTGAAATGGGTCAAATTGACCCTTAACATAATACAAGGGTTAATGACAAAACAAGGAATAAAACCAAGATTTCTGTCTTTGTAAAAAAGGTGTTGATTATAGATTTGTTGTTGACAAAAGTCTTTATTCAGATAGTATGGTCCCAGCTAGATTTGTCTGCATATCTGGCAACCTAAGTCAGGGAGAGTGCAGTACCACTTTTGGCCAAATTTTTACATATTAGTCCTTTAAGGCTAAATGTACATATACGTTTATTGTGGAGGTTAGATTATAAAAATAACCCATTAGAAGGGAAATAGCAGCTGTAAAGACTGTAAAATTCCTCACGCACACTTTTCTAACCACCTGAACTCACAACTGCTAAAGTGCAATCGGTACGGTGAATTACAGAAGCAGATGAACTTTTGAACAATATTCTAATTTTCAGAGTTCCACCTGCATAGTCCGAGTCGTGCAATCACTCTTTCCGTCTCCGGTGCATATGGATGGAAACGCAGTCACCGTGAGATTACAGGATATTAATGTCTATAGAGCGGAAGAAAGACAAAACTCAACATTTCGACTCAAAAAATATCACTGGAGTTTTTCCTTGACATTTTACATTACACGCACATTATTCATACGGATGCACATTCATATTGAAAACATGTCATCGCCATGGGGACTATTGACCGGCTGGACACGCTTCATAACTTAATGACCTAGAAATCAATGTGTGTAATATTATTTTACATGTTTCAGCTTAAACAGCAGCTGCATGATGTGAAGGAGATCAGTGTGTGTTTAAAAAAGGAACCGTTCCCTCGCTAATCACCTCCCACGTTCTAGGTTTTTCAGATATACTTAGTTTTATATTTATCACAGTGCTGAGGGGTGGGGGGTAAAAAAAAGTTAACTTAAATCTTTACTGGAGTATAACAGCATTCAGCAAGTGCATAAATGACACACACTATGCTAAATTGACTTTATTGAGATTTTAACCATGTTGCATAATTTTTCCACATCTAAAAAAAAACAAACAATAGTTGTTTTTAGCTCCCTCCACGCTTATATCAGGAACTTCTGGCACAGACATAATCCCTCTGACCCATAAGAACATAATGGGTAATATAAGGGGGATGTTTACTTTCTACACTGCTATCACTGAATATCTAAAGTGAGAGCCTGTAGAGTGTTGCTTCTTGAGCTTGTGCAGGTGAGCTTCAATAACAAAGCCAGACGGTCAGTGTGGGTCCAACAGCCCTGTGGCAGCTTTTATTTTTTTTTTTTTTACAATATACAAATCTATCTATTTGAAAACACCAAATGGAGCTGTTGACTTAAAGCAGTGAAACTTGAAGCTGGGGTGAGGGGTAGTCTGTATGAAAAGCAAACACGAAGGTAAACATGAAGGAAACCATCCCCACAATAGAAATCACCGCATACGTACATTTGCCACCTCCTACAAAAAATGCAAATAAGGCCACTACTTATGCAATATGCAAAACCAAAATCTAGAGTAACAGGCAACCAGGACTGGGTCTTTGAAGAAAACCCAGAGCAATTAGTAAATTGTGAAATAATATACAAACAAGATTTACAAAAGCATACCTCTACAAGACTGGACTGTTCTGACCCTTAAAAGACATTTACAAAGTATTTTTAATTTTAAATATACAAACCCATCCATCCATCCATCCATTTTCTTCCCATTAATCCATTTCTGGGTCAGGGGGTGGCAGTCAGAGCTGCACCCAGTACACAGAGAACCAGCCCCTCTCTGATCCTCCTGCAGGAGGTGAGTCCACAGGAGCTGAGATCTTTTAGTGGGGGGTTCCAGGCAAAGTGGGGTTAAGTGTCTTGCCCAAGGACACAACGACAGCAGACATCAGTGGGAGTCGTGAAGTAAGTTTTATGGTGGGCTCAAACCCACAACCTTCAGGCTCAAAGGCCAAAGCTCTACCAACTGAGCCACTATCGCCCCAATATACAATCAATACAAATAGAAAACCCATCTAAAAGCACTGTTTCAAATCTCCAGAATATGATGTGAACAGACTGGCTCAGGAAGAGGAAGTGAGCCTAAACTGCCTGTCTTTTAAATACTTGGTCATGTGACCTGACCACACCCATGACCACACCTTCACCTGTCTCACTTGTATTGTATTGTAGTATAGTATATAGTATTGGGATTTGTTTAATTGTTATTCTGTTCTATTTCTTGTGAACACTTGTTGGTATATCTTGTGCAAGTTTGAAATTAATACATAAATGCGGATAGCCATTTTTACTCTTTAATATTTACTAAGTCTATCTAAGAAGACAGAAGCAGGGAGGGCTAGAGCGAATATTTATTTTCAACAGTTTAAGCGGGGCACTAGGATTGGCTGTCACTAGTATCCCCTGGTATAAAAATTGTGTTTCTGAAATCTCTCGATTGCGATTCCACACACAGGGACACAACAGTATCCCTGTGTGTGCTACTCACAACAGAAACCCTTTTAGATATGAATGACAACAAGGCTCTGTCTCATCAGAGGAGGCGCTGTCTCTCACTCATGGTTTCAGACTCAGGACGTAGAAGGAGCAGGAGGAGCTGTAAATGTAAATGAGTTTGTGAGTTTCTTACCTTGGAGTGCTGTCGTTTAGTGCTGTGCTTCTTTTTTGTACAATATACAAATCTATCTATTTAAAAACACCAAATGGAGCTGTTGACTTAAAGCAGTGAAACTTGAAGCTGGGGTGAGGGGCAGTCTGTATTAAAAGCAAACACGAAGGTAAACATGAAGGAAACCATCCCCACAACAGAAATCACCAAAAA